CTGCTGGGCTCTGGCGATCCTTCTGCCTCAGCCTTCCAAGTAGCCGGAATTACAGGCATGCGCTACCACGCCCGGCTGATTTTTTGATTTATTGTAGAGATGAGGTCTCCCTGCCCAGGCGGGTCTCGAACCCACGGGCTCAGGCAATCCACTCACTTCAGCCTCCCAAAGGCGCGGGATTACAGGCTGAGCCACCGGCTGAGAATCTAAAGTTTTAACAAACACTCGAGGTGATTCTGAGGCAGGTGGTGTTGTATCCATCTTTTGAAAAACACTATGTTAAGGAAATATTAGTTACTTAGATGCTCAGAAAAAGTGCTGCCTGTGCCTGTCACTGTCTTCCCTCCAGTGCCTACCTCTCATCGGCCTCAAATGTAGTCAGAGGCTGAGTAAACTAAAGTTATGCAAACACATAGTTTCTGTTTTATACAGAAATAACTTTATGTACCATTTGTCTGAAATTTTGCAAGTGGCTTAACAAGCACCATTATTATAGGTATGGATTTTATTGCTCAGACTCAGGAATGCAAAATAGAGGTTACAGTTTTCCACTACTGAACTTCATTTTTAAAAATTTTATTTTAGAGTTGTGAGGTACAAGTGGGGATTCATTACTCAGTAGGTAGCATGCAGGTGAAGTTTGGGCTTCTATCGCTGGCCCTCTCTCCCGGAGAGTAGACCAGGTACCCAGTCTGTTGTCATGTGCCCTCCCCTCCTTCCCTCCCACCTCTAGCAGTGTCCAGCACCTGCATTAGTAACTGCTAATGTGACCAGTTAATGAACCTTATTTTTATCTCAAGCTCTCATTTTGGCTGGTAGAGTAAAAGAAACCTGTTAAATTCAGTGATTTTTTTTTTTGAGTTGAAGTCTCACTCCTTCGCCCAGGTTGGAGTGCAGTGGCATGCACGTTCACAGCCACCCCAGCGTCGACCTTCTGTGCTCCAGCGATCCTTTCACCTCAGCCTTCTGCATAGCTGGAACTGCAGACGCCTACTTCCGTGCCCGGCTATTTTTTATTTTATTGTAGAGATGAGGTCTCGTCAGGTTGCCCAGACTGGTCTTGAACCCTCGGGCTCCCAAAGTGCTGGGATTACAGGCTGAGCCACTGAGCCCGGCCAATTGAGTTTCACTTTTAAAACTCAGGCTTTCCTTTTTCTACTCTCTAGGGTTGATGCAAAGTTCCAGAGGCTAATATAAGTTCAGTATCAATAGAAAGGGGACGACTTCTTTTTCTTTCTTTTATTTTCTTTTTATTTATTTTTTAAAATCTGAGCCTCACTTTCTCGTTGGAGTGCAATGGCATGCTTATGGTCACCGTAGCCTCAACCTGCTGGGCTCAGGTGATCCTTCTGCCTCAACCCTCCAAGTAGCTGGAACCACAGGCATGTACCACCACGCCCAGCTAATTTTTTGATTTATTGTAGAGATGAGGTCACGTCATGTTGCTTAGGCTGGTCTCGAACCCCTGAGCTCAGTCAGTCCTCTCATTTCTGCCTCCCATAGTGCTGGGATTACAGGCATGAGCCACAATTTATGGTATTCCAGTGCCTGGCTACAACTTCTTGATCTGTGTAACTTTCCCATTGAGTCTTCAACTACAATACCTCCCAAGCTAGCAGCCCACTGAGATGTAGTATTTTCACCCAATCCCCATGAGTACTGCCTGTATTACATCTCAGTAGGCCCAGTAGTGGTGCGGATTTTTCATCAGGTCAGACTGTGCTCCAAGAGTGTTAGCTTGATGGATTGGCAAGCCGAGCCCCAGAAGTGTTAGCTCTAATGGGCTGGCAAGCCAGCCCCCGGAAGTGTCTCAGCTTCAGAATCTCACTTTCTGCTGGCAGCTGTCTTGGTTCAGCCAGTTCTGTCAGTTGGCAAGTCAGGCTTGGGTACTGGGCTCTTTGGCTTCAGTGATCTGCAGTTCTTCAGGTCTGGGTTCTTGTCTTACCCAGAAGGAATGAGGGATACCAACTGCTGTGGGACACCGACTGCTGGAAGGTGAACAAAAGCAAGATTTATTGAGAGCATAGAAAAGCTCCCACAGTGGGAGAATGCCCAAAGGGGTTGCTGATTTGGAGTTAAAACCTGGTGCTTATGTAACCTTAAGACCGAGCCAATTAGGTAGCACTAGCTGTAAACTGATTGGTTGGCACTAGCTGTAAACTGATTGGTTGGCACTAGCTGTGCCGATTGGTCAATACTAAGAACCAATCAGCCAGAGGTAGGGTCCTAGTAGTAAACTGATTGGTCAGCACTTAGCAGTGAGTTGATGGGTTTGCTTTCCAATCTGGGCAGTGAGTGTTTTCTTGCCCTAGCCATCTGAGCTTATAGGGAGCCTGTTTACCAACACAAGTATATCAGTCCCAGAGGCCTACAGGAAGTTTGCTACTATGTTACAGGGTACCTGCCCTGTCTGCTTAGCTTTTTTCTAGCTATCTCCTCTCTCAGTAGTTCTTGTCCTGTGAACTAACTCACTTTGACACCTCACTTAGGGGGATATGGGAAAATCCCAGAAGTTCTTCCATACCACCATAGTCTCTCTGACCTTCTCATGCCTAGACATCTCATAGCACTGTCTGCTCTGTGACTGTGGCACCATGGTAACTTGGGAGATTTTCCCATGAAGCTCATCATCTCCCTAGGACTTATGTGGAAATGAGGCAGAAGCTCTCTATTCTTAGACCCCCAAAGTTTAATGAGAGGGCAATGTCTTCTATTGCCCTTGAGATTTGACCTGGGAATGAATAATGTATGGTCCCTTTTCAGCCAGCTCTCCTTTCCTTCCCTAGGTCACACCATCTTTATTCTGATTGGGAATAGAGAAGGAGGAAGTAAATCAGTAGTGATTGGTGATATTTATTTCCTATATTTTTTGTCTTTTACCTGGACTCATGGCACTGGGCTGCTAGGAAGGCCTTTGAGGTATATATAAATGAATTGTGGGGGAAGAAACAAATATATTCATATATCCTTAATTTTCTTCCCTTAGCCTAACTGCTTACTTTGGCCTACTTGACATCTGTGGTGTGAAAGGTGGAGAAACAGTGATGGTTAATGCGGCAGCAGGGGCAGTGGGCTCTGTTGTAGGGCAGATAGCAAAGCTCAAGGTAAGTGTCTTCCTCCAGTAACAAACGTTTTATTTAAGATCATTGAATAAATATGTGCATTGGTGCATCCTTGCCCTCAAGGAGTTAATAATCTAGTAGATTTTATTTAGAAGTGACAGATTGAAGAATGAGGAAAAGAGTGTAGAGCGAATGGGGAAAGCTGAACATGGTTATATGATAGCATTGTAGGTATCAAGTCAGGAATGGCCTCCATCTAGAGTAACGAGTTTTAAAGCATTAACTATTTCCATACTTTTTTTACTGAACATCCTCTTGTTACAGCTTAATCTCCTTTTGTCATGATTGTCCCCAGCCAACCCAGAGTCATCGCCCACATGACCCAGCCTTTCTAGTGCAAAGGCTGTTGCACTAGAAAGAAATGACATTCAGCCTAGGTCACTGGGGTCATGCTTGGGAACTAACTCCTGGGTGGTACACAGACCAGGGAAATGGTGGCTGTGATTTGGGTAGGGATCCAGTCTGACTGTTAGTGTATAGAACAGCAGGCATCTCAGACAGTCAGGATTTGTTATGACATAGTGGGAATGTTCCAAGGTGACTTGGCTTGGCTGATCCTTTGCCAGGGGCTGGGATGCAGGATTCTGGACCTAATTCCCAGGGGACAAGTTAGGTGAGAAATAGATGAGGACCGGGCCAAGGGTTCAGGCTGGTCTCCATTGCTAATGGGAGTTTGGACTACAAATATGAGGCTACCACAGAGGTTGCAGAAATGACAGGGAATAGATTTTGAGTTTTAATAAATGCCATTGCAGCATTTATCAGGTTAACATTGCACTTGATGAATTACATTAGTTTTCCAATGTTGAACCATTCTATCCTACGCCTAGAATAAACTTTACTTACAAATGGCATATTATGAATGTATGCCTTTGGAACTTATTTGATGATATTTTAAATAGACTTTTTGCATCTATATTCATAGGTGGGTTTGGTTTAAAGTTTTCTTTTTGTTCTGAAATTTAGCTAGACTTGGGTAAGATTAACAAATGAAAGTAAATAATATATCAGCTCTTCCCTGGAGAAAATCCACTGGAGGCTGCTATGCTAAAGAGTTTGTACTCAATCCTTAAAAGAGTAACATGATGAGTTCTGCATTTCAGAAACATCACTTAGGCCTTGGTAGGAGAATAGTTCATAGGGACACAATACTGGAGACAAGAACTTCACTTAGGAATCTCTTACAATAATTCAGATGAAAATTTGACGCTCTGAGAGTAGCGATTGTAACTCAGAGCCAGCTTATCAGGATATATATATATTTTTTTTCTCCCGAGCTTTCTAACTCAGCCTCAGCCTCACCAGACCCCCTTCGCTGCCCTTTCCCGTTCATTCACTCTCCTCTTTTCTTATCCCTATTTATTGTTAATCCTCCTCCAGACCCCCAGCTCAGCTTCCGGCTTCTTTGGTTTTTCCCACTCCGACCTCCACGCCAGCCCTGCTCATCTGGAGGCTGGGACTGATCCCTCAGCCTCACCGGATCCTCCCACTCCTTAGCTTGCTGGCCACGAGCTCTGCCTCCCCACTACCGGAGCCCTCTCCCTGCATCCTGGACAGCCCGGTCTGGCCCAGCCAAGCCCAGGGCCCACTCTGCCCTCACTTCCTTGTCCCCCTTGCCTACTCCACCTCAGTTTTGTTTTTTTTTTTAAAGAATAAAACCTAGTGATTGGATGTGACTAGTAAGACAAAGGAAAGCGTCTCCTTTGAACCACGTTTTTCAAATTTGGATAACTAAATAGTATCATTCAACACAATAAACAATAGAAAAGGAACAAGTAAGAAGCAAGGAAACAAGTACATTCCTTTTCAGACATACTGATTATGAGAGACCTACAAGCTATCCAAATGAATACATGTTATAGGTTGTTGGAGCTCCTGATTTGGAACTCAGGAGAGAGGTATGGGCTGGAATTAATAGACAAGGGAGTCATCAGCATGAAGAAGGCAGTGAGGTCATAAGAGTAAATGAGATCATCCGATGAGAGTGTATAGGCTAGAAAGGACAAGGACCACCGGGCTCGGTGGCTCAGCCTGTAATCCCGCGCCTTTGGGAGGCTGAGGTGAGTGGATTGCCTGAGCCCGTGGGTTCGAGACCCGCCTGGGCAGCGAGACCTCATCTCTACAATAAATCAAAAAATCAGCCGGGCGTGGTAGCGCATGCCTGTAGTTCCGGCTACTAGGAAGGCTGAGGCGGAAGGATCGCCGGAGCCCAGCAGGCGAGGCTGTGGTGACTGGGAGCGGCCACTGCACTCCAGTCTGGGCGACAGAGTGAGACTCCAACTCAAAAAAAAAGGACGAGGACCAAGGATGGAGCTCTTACAAAATAGTTTTTTCTTAAATCATGAAGAAATGGAAAAAGTGTATGTCATCACTGTTTGTATAGAGATACATGTATAAACCCAGTTGCAGTCTTTCCCCAATTTAAAATGCACAATGGCACATATTCTGGTCTTTGCAATACATTGAGGGTCTAAGAGAGCTTTCTAAAGAGCTAGTTTCTGTGAACGAATATAATCTCTAGTGTCATCCTGAAAGTGCTTTTCAGAATGCCCCTCAGTTTCTCTGTAATTAGGCAACATCTAATCAAAGGACCAAATCAAAGGATAAGGAGGTGGTTACCAGGAGGACTGTCGATGACATGGGAGACACAGAGCTAAGACAGAATAATAGTCTCAAGAGCCTACAAGTAAAGAACCAGGAAGTGAAATGAATAGGTTGTGAAAACAGCAGGTTGAAATGAACTGCAAACCAAGTAAACATAGCAGGGATCTGCTGTGTGGTCAAAAGCAAGCTGAAGTTGAGTTGTAGGCTGACTTGGGGACTAATTCCACATATGGGGACTGTAGGCCCATTATGGCATTCCTCATATATGTGACTCAGCACCTGATAGGGTGTTCTTGGGGAACCAGCCACACTATAGTAAGAAAATAGTGCTGGTTCATGCTTGTGGCTTATTGATGATTTCCATTTTTCTCCCTACCTTAGGGCTGCAAAGTTGTTGGAGCAGTGGGAGCTGATGAAAAAGTTGCCTACCTTAAAAAACTTGGATTTGATGTTGTCTTTAACTATAAGACAGTAGAGTCTTTGAAAGAAACTTTGAAGAAAGCCTCTCCTGATGGTTATGATTGTTATTTTGATAATGTAAGTACAAACTGGACTTAATATATAATTTGATAAAGTACTATATAAAGAAGTATATTTCTAGAGTTAACATCTGTAATTCATGGAAAGTATATATGCCTTTTTAAAAGAATTAGCTTTATTGAGCTATAACTCATACACCATATAGTTCACTCATTTAAAGTGTAGAATTATTTTTGTTAATTTCTTTTTTGGTAGAGATGAGATCTTGCTATACTGCTCAGGCTGGTCTCAAACTCCTGGCCTCAAGTGATCCTCTCACTTTGTCCTCCCAAAGTGCTGGGGTTACAGGCCACCGTGCCCAGCAAAGTGTAGAATTCAAAGGTTTTTAATTTTAGTGTATTCACACAATTGTACAACCATCACCACTGTTTTAAAATATTTTCACCACCTCAGAAAGAAACACTACTCACTAGCAGTCATGCTCCATTCCCCACCCCTTGCCAAGTGGATTTTGTGACTGGCTTCTCTCATTTAGCAAAATGTTTTCAAGGTTCATCCATGTTGTAGCATTTATGAGTACTTCATTCTTTGTATATCTAAATAATATTCCATTGTATAGACATTCCACATTTTATTTATCCATTTATCAGTTGATGGGCATTTATGTTGTTTATACTTTTTGGTTATTATGTATAATGTTACTGTGAACATTCATGTACAAGTTTTTGCGTGGACATGTTTTCATTTCTCTTGGGTATACACCTATGAGCAGAATTGCTGGATCATATGGTAACTTGATTTTTAACATTTTGAGGAGCTGCCAAACTGTTTTGCAAAGTGGCTGTACTACTTTACATTCCCACCAGCAATGTATAAGGGCTCTGATTTCTCCATATCCTCACCAACACTTGTTTTTATCTGTCTTTTTCATTGTCGTCCTCCTAGTGGGTTTGAAGTGATATTTCATTGTGATTTTGACTGGCAAAATCCCTAAGGCTAATGATACTGAGGATCTTTTCATGTATTTTATTGGCCATTGTATATCTTCTTTGGAGACATGCCTGTTCAAATTCTTTGTGCATTTTTCATTTGGGCTATTTGTGATGCTGTAAGAGTTCTTTTTTTTTTGAGTTATAGTCTTACTCTATAACCCAGGCTGGAGTGTAGTGGCACACTCATGGCCACCACAACCTCGACCTGCTGGCCTCAGGTGATCCTTCCACCTCACCTTCCAAGTAGCTGAAACTACAGGCACGCACCACCACGCTTGGCTACTTTTTTGATTTATTGTAGAGATAAGGTCTCACCAAGTTGCCCAGGCTGGTCTCAAACCCCTGAGTTCAGACAATCCTCTTGCCTCAGCCTTTCAAAGTGCTGGGATTACAGGCTTGAGCCTGGGCTCAGGGCGATACTTCCACATCACCCTTCCAAGTAGCTGGAACTCCAGGAGTACCCCACCATGCCCAGCTAATTTTTTTGATTTATTGTAGACAAGGTCTTGCCAAGTTGCGCAGGCTGGTCTCGAACCCCTTGGGCCCAGGCTATACTCTCGCCCCGACCTTCCAAAGTGCTGGGATTACATGTCTGAGCCACCATGCTCAGCCTATTTTATTTATTTTACAAAAGAGAAAAAGAGGTTCAGGAGTGTTAAGTAACTTCCCCATAGCTGTCCCACCAGCTAATACCCCAAGAGTTGAGATTCATATCCCATCCAATCCCCGGAGTTTCTTTTTTTTTTTTTTTGAGTCAGAGTCTCACTCTCACCTAGGCTGGAGTGCAGTGGCACACTCACAGCCACCAACAGCCCTGACCTGCTGGGCTCATGTCATACTTCCACCATAGCCTTCCAAGTAGCTGGCACTACAGGCATGTAACACCACACCCAGTAATTTTTTAATTTATTTTAGAGACGAGGTCGCGTCATGTTGCCCAGGCTTATCTCAAAGACTTGGGCTCAGGCATTCCTCTTGCTTTAGCCTCCCAGAGTGCTGGGATTACAGGTGTGAACCACTGCACCCGGCTGCCAGAGCTTCTTAAATGATACCACACTGCCCCCTACTGCCTCTATCTCCTGCTCATTTCTGTGTAAGAGTTGAAACAAGAAGACAGCATGACCTTGTTCTGCCTTAGCTGGAAATGGCTGCATCTTTTTCATTACTCTGCCTGTCTGCAAGTGCTCAGGGAAAGCTCTGTGAGTATTAACTTTGAGGTTACAAATTTTAGCAAATAGTGCAATTCTCAAATATGGAGTCGACTAGTAATGAGGATCAACTGTATGTGGCTTACAAATATTTTCTCCTATTTTGTGAGCTGTCTTTCACTTTCTTGATGGCAGCCTTTGAAGCACAAAAGTTTTAAAGTTTGATGAAGCCCAATTTATTGCTTTTTCTTTAGTTGCTTGAGCTTTTGGTGTCATGTCTCAGAAAGCTGTGTCATACTCAGGCCTATGAAGATTACTCTGCTATCTTGTAAGACTTTTATGGTTTTAGCTCTTACATTCAGGTCTGTTGATATATTTTTAAGTTAATTTTTGTGTATGGTTTAATTTTATTCTTTTCATGTGAATATCCGGTTGTTCTATACCATTTGTTGAAAAGACAATCCTCCCTCCCTCCTTTTTTTTTTTTTGAGTCCTGGTCTCTATAGCCCAGGCTAGAGTGCAGTGGCACAATCATGGCTCACTGCAGACTCAACCTCCTGGTCTCAGGCAATCCTCCTGTCTCAGCCTCCGGAGTAGCGAGACTACAGGTATGTCCAATTTATTTTTAAATTTTTTTGTAAAGACAAAGTCTTGCTACGTTGCCCAGGCTGGTCTTGAACTCCTGGGCTTAAGCAATCCTCCTATCTCAACCTCCCGAAGTGCTGAGATTACAGGTGTGAGCCACTATGTCCAGCCTGTTTTCCTCCTATTTAATTGTCTGGCACTTGTGTGGAAAACCAGTTGGTCACAAGTATTTTTAAACTCTCAATTTAGTTCCATTCATCTGTATTTCTATTCTCACACTGTCTTGATTAATTTAGCTTTGTAGTGAGTTTTGCTGTCAGAAAGTGTGAGTCCTCCAACTTTATTCTTCATATACCTTTTGAGTATTTTTCCATGCCTTTAAATTATGGGGCAATAAGATCATTGGACTGATTAGAGAAACTCAATCTATAGTAAAGTAAAATGTATAAGTTATAAAAGGCATGTTCTTAGAGCCAAGTAGAAATGCCTGTTTCTATTGTCTTTCTAACTGTAACTTTCAGCTCTATTTTGCTCATTCAGTCAGTTTCTTGCTGCCAAAACAAGTATTGTGAAATAATGATTGTGACCTCATGATTCTCAAGGTTTTGTTTTTGTTTTTGTTTTCCTGTTTAGGTAGGCGGAGAGTTTTCAAACATTGTTATCCCCCAGATGAAGAAATTTGGAAGAATCGCTATATGTGGTGCCATCTCTACATATAACAGTACTGGTCCACTTCCCCCAGGTAACAAGCATATGCACATGATCACAGATGTAGGAAGACTGGACAAGGAGAAGATTCATGATGTGGTATAGGCCAGTAACTATCAACATATTAGAAAGAGGCCAGGTGCAGTGGCTCATGCCTGTAATCCGAGCACTTTGGGAAACAGGTGGGTGGATTGCGTGAGCCCAGGAGTTTGAGACCAGCCTAGGTAACATAGCAAGACCTCATCTCTACAAAAATTTTAAAAATAGCTAGGTGTGGTGGCATGCACCTGTAGTCCCAGCTACTCGGGAGGCTAAGGTGGAAGGATCATCTGAGCCCAGGAGTCTGAGGCTACTGTGCTACTGCAATCCTGTCTGGGCAACAGAGTGAGACCCTGACGAAAAAATATATATATAGTTTCATGTATTTTGTGCTAATCAGCTTGTACTGATGTAAGTAAGTAGCAGGATCCCAAAATATGGAAGAAATAATTGCTAAAAATTTTTGGGTTTTTGCCTATTATTTTCTGCAAAGTTGTAGAAAGACAGTCATGATTTGATTTAGAAACAAAACACTTTGGTCTGGCTCATAGAATATTAGGGTTCTTCAGGATAGTAGAGATATTGCTGGAGGTGTGGGAGTGGATAGAGGGAGACTTGATATGGGTCAAGGGAGGGGCAGGCTGTTGTGTTCCTCAAAAGTCTTGGGTAGTGCTTCCTAGAGCAGCAGGGTACCTTGGCTTCATCAGTGGAAAATCACCGCTAAAAGTGAGAGAAGTATGCACTTCTTCGTTCCTTGACTATCTTTGTTTTGTTCCTCTGGTGCCTTGCCATGCCTTCCTCCCCCTACTTCTCTCCTCTCTTATGCCAAAACTGCCCCTCCCACCTCCACACTCACAGAGGTATAAAAGCACTATCACCCAGAGAACCATACTCATTAAATCCCCATCCTGCGAGAGATCCTGTACAGGTCTCTCATTTTACAGGTAGAGAGATGAATGGCTGGGAGGTTAGCAACAGACTCAACAAAGAACAGTCTTCTGAACTCTTCATGCAGAGTCCTTTTCTGCTGCAATGATTCTGTGCTGTTAGAAAGAGTACAGATTTACTCATGGTCCAAAGAAAAAAAAGGGAACCTTTCAGTCTATAATCAGAAACTAGGCAACCATAAGTCAATTGGTTATTTAGTCCATGATGGGCTTGACTAATGGGAATGAAACCTTACTGTCCCACTAGATAACAAGCACCACAACTGCAATGAAACACGTGGGCTAGAAAGGACGTATCTAAGGAAGAACATCTTGTAGATTCCCTGTTGGTCTGTGAAAAATCAAAGACACTAGACTCACTTGGCAATCTTATTATCAGGGACTTTCTTCCCCCTAGGTTTTTCTAATTGATGCTAAGCTGGAATCATGGGATATCATCTGCCTGACAATTGAGCTAAGCATCATGTTCCAATTATGTATAGCCAGATATTTTTTATTTTGGATACAGTAACTTGATCTAGTCTTTTTAGCAATTAGTTTTTGGAAGTTCAGCTGCTCAGCTAGGTCTTTGAGGTGTCTGCTGGCCTTGTCCTTTCCATTTTAGTTAGATGGGATTCTGCCCTGCAGCTGATTCCCAGAAAATCTAACATACTCCACCATTAGGATAACTCAGAAGCAAGTAATTATTTCCGCCACATAAGGTAGCATATTCACATTCATTTCAGATGTGGACATCTTTGGGGCCATTATTCTGCCTACCACAGTGTGCTTGTTGATTATTTAGGAGTCCTGTGGATCAGAAAGGAGTGGAGGAAATGGAAGGAGAGGTGGCAGAACAGTGATGGTGACCTGTACTACTTGTGCTTTCACCACGGCCACCTCTCTGGATCCTGTCATCCAAGTGTACGGTTCTCTTCACAGGCCCTCCCCCAGAGATTATTATCTATCAGCAACTCCGCATGGAAGGGTTCCTCGTCAACCGCTGGCAAGGAGATGCCCGCCAACAAGCGCTTAAGGACTTGCTGAAATGGGTCTCAGAGGTAAGGGGCTCCAGGGCCACCCCCTCCAACAGTATACCAGCTCCCATTCCCTTTTGCTTCTCTACACTGTCGTTCTACCAATGCTTCCAAGTTCTCTCTGCTGCATCATCCATTTCTACCTCTCTGTTGGGTCATGGCCCTTAGAATACAAACATTATTACTTTTCCTGTCTTGAAAAGAAAAACAAAACAAAGCGACTCATTTCCACTGCAAATATAGGCTGGTTTCACTCCTCTCCCTTTTATAACGAAACACCTGGAAGTGCTGTCTATATTCACTGTCTGCAGTTCCTCTCTTTCCGTTCTTCCTTAAACCCACATATCTTGCTTTTGCACTGTTGCCATTCTACCAAAATGGCTTTTGTCAAGGTCACAGGTGTCCCTCACATTGTAAAATCCAGTGATTGATTCTTAGTATCACTTGGCTGTGGGAAATATTTGACAAAGTGGTTACTCTCCTTGACATACTTTCTTCCCATGACTTCCCTTAGCTCTTGGTTTTCCTCACTGATTGGTCTTTTTCAGACTCTTCTGCTAGCTTCTCTTCTTTTCTCCAAATTAACAATAGAGTGCTCCAGGGCATGATCATTGGGCCTCTTTCCTTCTCTACCCATACTCTATGTATCCCTTATCGATAGGTTTGTGGCTTCAAATTCTATCAGCATGCTGACAGCTCCCAAATTTTTATCTCCAGCCTGGATTTCTCCTCTGAACTCTGGACTGGTATATCCAGCTGCTCAACAGCTACACCTGCATGCCTGATATACATCTCTGACCTAACATGAAAAGTAAATGTTTTGATCTTTCCTGCCAAACCTGCTTCCTGTTCAGACTCCACCGTCTCTATTATGGCAATTCTATCCTAGTTTCTCAGTTCAAAAACCTTGGTGTCATCCTTGATTTTTTTCTTTCTCTCGTACCCATGTTTAATCTATAAGAAGATTCTAGTGGCTCAACATTCAAAATACATACAGAATCTGACCACTTCTCCCACCTCCTCTGCTACCACCTTGGTCTAGGCTACCATCCCATATAGCCTGGGTATTTGCAGTAGACCCTACCTGGCCTCTCACTTTGCACCCCTATAGACAATTCCCAACACAATGGCCAGAGTGATCTTTTAAAGCAACAGTCCCAGACCTTTTTGGCACCAGGAACCGGTTTCATGGAAGATAGTTTTTCCATGGATCCATGGATTGGGTGGGGTGGGGGGAATGGTTTTGGGATAATTCAAGTGCATAACATTTATTGTGTACTTTATTTCTAATATTATCAGACATTGTAATATATAATGAAATAATTATACAACTCACCATAATGCAGAATAAGTGGGAGCCCTAAACTTGTTTTCCTGCAACTAGATGGTCCCATCTGGGGGTGATGGGATACAGTGAAACCTGAAGTGTGTTACTTATGTCCAGTCTACTCCGTAATCTCGCTTTGGTTGCTGTCACTGCAGAAAACCCTGTTTCACAAAGATAGGATGTTGGAAATGGAAGCAGGCTTTTCACTGCTGATCTGACAGGAGGAAGAGCTCAGGAGGTTATTCGAGTTATGGGGAGCAGTTATAAATACAGAAGAAGCTTTGCTCACATGCCCACCACTCACTTCCTGCTGTGCGACCCAGTTCCTAACAGGCTGTAGACCACTACGGTCCATGGCTTGGGGTTTGGGGACTCTGTTTTAAAGCATAAATCAAATCATTTTATTATTATGCTCCAATTCCTGCAAAGCTCCCCATTTCACTTAGAGTAAGCCAAAGTGCTTATAATCTGGTCCTGAATCCTCTGACTTTATTTCTGTAGTATTCATGCCATTGTTTACTCAGTCAAGTCCCCTCCACCTCTACCCCACCCTTCTGTAAGTGCTTACTTAATTCTCTCACCTCCTTCAAATCTTTGCTACAAGTGCCTTTGGATGTATCCCCAGCCCTCCAAATATTTAGTCAAATTGGATTAGGGTCCACCCATATGACCTTATTTTACCATAATTAAAGGCTCTATCTCTAAATATAATTACATTCTGAGGTACTAGGAATTAGGACTTAAACATAAATTTGTGGAGGGGCTACAATTTAGTCCATAATAGTATTCATATATATTCATATATATATGTATTTTTTTTAGTTGGGGGTTCTCACTCTGTCACCCAAACTGGGGAGAAGTAGAATGATCATGGCTCACCACAGCCACCATGTCTGGCTAACTTTTTTTTTTTCAGAAAGATTTATTGAGGACTGAAAAGCTCTCACAGTGGGAGGGCACCTGAGGGTGTTGCCTTAGCTTTTTGATTTTTTGTAGACACAAGATCTTGCTATGTTGCCCAGGCTGGTCTCAAATTCCTGGGCTCAAACAATTCTCCTGTCTCAGCCTCCCAAAGTGCTGGGATTACAAACATAAACCGCCACACCTGGCCTTCATTCTCTATTGTTAACTTTTAAACTGGATTCTGACTTTCTACCCTATCCATATTCTTTGCTTCTTCAAGAATAAGATTAAGTTAAAGCTTTCAAGTCAAGAGTTCAAATCTCAGCTTCCCTACATTCTAATTGAGTGACTTCAAGCAATTAATCTTGTCCATAAATCCATGAAGGGTGCTAAACTTTTCACTGGACTACATTAGGGAAAAATAGGTATTACGTAACAGATCTCTATATAAGACCCTTTAAAATATTTGAAAATGTAAACTAGCCTTACTTGGTAGCCTATGTTTTGTAGTAAGAGAGATGAAAAACTTTCCTCAGTAACATGAATCTTTCCTTCCTACACTCCCAAATAAATGTTAAACACATATTGAAAGAAACTTGGCATAAAGAGGAGACAGATTATTAGACTATCTTTTTCTGAATGAGACCCACCTCTTCAGTTACCAAATAGAAGTAGTGAAAAGTACTCCACCTCTTCTAAGATCATAATGTTATTAAACTTTACTATGCAACTTACTTAGAAATTGCCTAATCACGATTTTGTGACATTTCTCACTGTGATCTGACACCTATTATTAAATGCTTCTTATGTGTGCTTTGTAATCTGTTACATACACTATGTATATAGATCTTGTCTCAAACTGAGTTCAAATTCATGGAGGACAGGCCCTCTATCTCTTTATTTTCAAGGTTACCATGATGTACCTGATGAATTTATTGCTAAAATGAAGAGTGTATCATTGGGAATATTAAATTAACTTTTAAAATTTGCTGTTGTTTTATTACAGGGTAAAATCCAGTATCATGAATATGTCATTGAAGGATTTGAAAATATGCCAGCTGCATTTATGGGAATGCTGAAAGGAGATAATTTGGGGAAAACAATAGTGAAAGCATAAAAAAAAAGACATGGAATCTGAAGATCATTTGGATGATTACACAATTTGTTTTTCACCATTTAGCAAGTGTATACTCCCTTAATTACCTAAGAAATAGTAACTGCATTGAGTTTGACCTACTTAATAAAATACATTTAAGTGGCTTGTAATTAAAGTGACAAAGAATAAAAATTTTATAGTGAATAACCACGTCACCTCACTGCCCACTATAACGCCTTCTGGGTTATGGTAGAAAATAATGGCTTTGGAGTCTGAAAGCTTACTCCCTCTGTGACCTTAGACATCTGATTTTTCATCTTCTTTTTTTGAGTCAGAGTCTCACTCTGCCACCAGGCTGGAGTGCAGTGACATGCTCACAGTGCCCACAGCCTCAACCTGCTGGGCTCAGGCAATCCTTCCACCTCAATCTTCTCAGTAGCTGGAACTACAAGCGTGTGCCACCATGCCTGGCTAATTTTTTGATTTATTGTAAAGTCGAGGTCTTGCCAAGTTGCCCAGGCTGGTCTTGAGCCCAGGCAGTCCTCTTGCCTTCACCTCCCAAAGTGCTGGGATTACAGGCTTAGGCACTGCACCTGGCTGATTTTTCATCTTAAGGTGAGAATAATAACATCTATTTCATACATTTTGCTCATTTATGTAAAACACCAGCATAAAGCCTATTAGGTACTCAATAAGTGTCAGTTATCTCCCTGCTGATATCAGTGAATTTGAAGTCATAAGATTAGCACTCCTATTGCTTGTGATTAGACCAGAAGAAATTTTCATTGCTGGTGTACAGGAGTCTCAGGAATCTCAGGCCAGCCTACACTGGTTCTCTGCAGGTAAGTCTAATAATGTAACAGACCGAGGAAGGAGTCTGTTACTTAAAACAGCTGCAAAAGATAACACATGGGAATACTTACACAGCTACAAAGATTGTGCAGAACTTACATGAAGAAAGCTTTAAAACGTTACCGAGGAACACAAAAGATGACTTGAACACATTGAAAGGCACTATGCCTTTAGGAAGATTTAATGTCGATCAGAAAGCTGGAATTCTATTGATCAATTCTGCCATGATAGAAAGGGTTAAATAAATTATAGTACAATGAAACTGTGGGGTGGGGAAGAGTGTATAAAAACTCTGAAGAGATGTCATAAACTACTAATATGGTTTATCTTCAGTGAAGAGAACTGAGGAGTGTCCATAGGACAGAGTAATAGAAAAAAGGTCCCTGCCCTTGTATGCCCTCTTCCCTTGCCAAACTCTTCAGTCCTAAAGAAATTAGATGAAGCAGAGGAAAGTGAGTGAGTGCTGGGGCTTGAGAAGGGGCAGCCTCTGGTCCCAAGCAGGGTGAGTAAGTCATGCACGGAGGCTAGCTGCCTGGCAGAGTCCCAGTGCTGTGTCTGTGTGTGTGTGTACACTTGTGAGCAGGCAGAGGGAGGGCCTGGGTGGTGTGTTGTGGCCTGATATGAGGAACTGAGCTCAAGCAGAATGAATCCAGCTTCTGAGTCATAGCAGGGTTCCCCAGCATGTGTGTCAAGAAGAGTGAAGTCATTGATGTGGGTGGAGGAGGGAGAGAGCATGACCCGATTAAGGGTGTCAGAGTCCAAGCAGGGTGAGGACGACATTTGAATGGGAGGGCTGCGTGGTGTAAGAAGTCAAAGTCTGAGCAGAATAAGCAAGGCAACATGCAT